TCATTTTTTCAATAATGTAGTCATCATGATCACAGCTAGAACATTATTATAAAAATGGGAAAACCAGTGAAATAAGTTCTTTTCTAGACAATTGAAGTCATAAGAATAATACTGAAAGGAAAAGAAAGTGATTTAATTTTACTCTAATGTGTGGAGTGTAGTTGTTTTATTTTGAATGTTATACTTTTTTTTGCTGTTTGAATAAGTAATCAACTTAGATTTCCTATGCCTGTGGAATGAATGTTTATGTTTGCAGGGAAAAGCAGAGTGTGGGAGAAATGAGACATTTAAATTATTAAACAGATTATTAAATACTTTAGAAACTTGTCATTGTGTCTTGGCATTACTATCCAACTAATGTAAATGTTGATTTAATTTCTTTATTTTGTTTTTTTTATGATCATTTACTATGAGGTTTTTGCCTTGCAGATTAAAAGTATGCTTGCAAAGAGCATGCAGCCTTAGCATCAAGATGGTGATTTCATTTCAGGTCTTTAACAGACTTGTGGTGGGAAATTAAACAAGTGACAACCCTGGTCTTTGCCTGAACTTGCTTATTTTATGAACTGGAATAAAAATGCTTGTTATCAAATGTTAAATATGGAGCAGTTTGAACTCCTTAGATGAAATACTTAATATGAATTTACTCAGCCTTGTAAATAAATTTAAAAAGTTAATTGACCTGCACAAATTTGTTACAAACCTTCCCTCTCCCACAGTACTTATCTTCTAGTAATATGAAGAAAATTAGGATTTCTTTCTACTTCCCTCACAGATATTAGTTCGTATGGGGGTTGAGGAGATCAACGTCCATTATTTGGTATGATTAATCATAATCCACTGAAGTTCTGTGTGCAAAGATGATTCATATTAGAGTCAAATATAGACATAGGATCACCTCGGATCTGTGAATCTGGCATAGATTTTAAAGTAATGAATAATGAGTATTTAGAGAATATTTATAGAATAAAATAATGAACAATGAGTATTTAGAACCTTAAGAGAACAGGAATGTTCTCTAATAGGATATCCCCACATAAAATAACTTTGGGTGGGCTTCTACCTTGCAAATTTAAATACTTTTTATCTAGTTTTCTCTGAAGTTAGGAACAAGAATACAAAAACAAAATGAATACAGGTTTCAGGGTAATACTGTGTTAGTCCATCATTGTGACAAAATTGCTGAGGAAAGATTTGCTCTGGCTCATGGTTTCAGGGGTTTTAGTCCATGTTCACTTGGCCTCAAAACTATGGGTCTGTGATGAGGCAGATCATCATTGTGGGGAGCATGTGGCAGAAAAGAGCTGCTTACCTCATGGTGTCTGGGAAGCAGAGACAGAAAAAGATACAGGGAGAGAAAGAGAGGTCCAGGGACAAGATACACCCTTCCAAAGCATTCCCCCAGTGAGCTGCTTCCTCTAACTGGGCTCCATCTCCTAAAGTTTCAACCACCTCTCAATAGTGCCTCCTGCCAGGGAGTAAATCTTCAGTACGTGAAACTTAAGGGGACATTCTAGATCCATAGCACATGCTTTATTCCCTCATACTGGATTAACCGGGAAAGTAGGAAATAGAGAGAGAGAGAGAGAGAGAGAGAGAGAGAGAGAGAGAGAGAGAGAGAGAGAAGGAGAAGAAAGAAATGAGATGAAGAGAAAAGAAAGAAGGGGAGAGAAAGGGACAGGAATTGAGAAAGAAAGAGGAAAAATGTTGTGGGTTGGTGAGGAAAGTTCTCTTCAGGAACTTCAGGGAAACCCTGTGTTTATCAAATCAGCAGTAGACCCCAGAGACACAATTTAGAACACCATGTTGTCCCTGAAGTCCCCAGTCCTAAAGATTTTACTCTCAGTTGGATTTTGACAGGAGGCTTAATAATCAAGGGCTCCAAGCTCTAGGCCCCAGCTATCCCTTGGGCAACCCAACCCTCTTCCATTGTACTATATCCCCCCATAAATATTCCATATTTAGCACCATACATGTAGTTTGGCAGATCTTAAACTTCAACATAGAATTTTGACAAAAGATGACACTGTCTCTGTCAACATCTTCATTAGGAGTTTATCATATGACAAAGGTGACGAGACAGAAGTTTCAACAGATGGGTAAAATAGAGCAAACCAGAGTGTGGAAGAGAATGCAGGGACAGAATTCATGAAGGTAATCCTGAAAGTCTGAGATGGCCTTCTTGATGTGCCTGAAAAATACGAAGTGCAAATAAGGCTGTAACTGGAAGAAACCATGGAAGTGGAATGTGATGGAAATATGAAAGTTATACAATGTAAGTAGCCAGGGCAAAAACAAAAAGACTAGAAGAGGATCAGTAATGTCTTCAAAAAGAATGCCCTGGGCTAAAACAACACTGAAGATAAACCAGAACTGTATCAATCTAGTTGTTAGAACAAACAAAGATGGATTGGAATGGGTTCATTTGTATAATTCAGGAACTTGCTTATATGAGAGGCTAACACTGTTTTTCTTTTTCTTTTTTTTTTTTTTTTTTTTTTCTAGAGGTCAACTAACATAAAATAATGATGATTGAGTAAAAATAATGGAGAACATTTTACTTAAATATCATATTTGTTTTTTAAATTAATAATTTAGTAGACACAAATACTAGAACTCAAAATTATCAATTTTTAGTTTGTGTCACTCTTCTGTTAAGAAATAAAAAATTCTATGTAAGGAATGAATGCAGCTAAGAGTTGAATTGGATCTTGAGAGTTGTGTATGCAAAATGAAATAAAAGCCAAATTTTTATTTTAATTGATATTGAGTACAGTGCATATACTATCTTAAAAAGACATAGATGTCCTTACAGTAGAGAGAATGTAAACTACTTAAATAATGATTTTTAATTTCATTGGGTAGGCATTTAGCAAAAGTAAATGCCAGATTCTAAAAAATTTTAATCATGGCATAAAATTGTTCAACACTTTATTTTTCACAAATTCAGATGTCCCTGACCACCTTTCAGAATATTCAAATGAGTGGAGCAAGGTGAAAATGAGACTGGTGATTGGGCACTGGGGAATATCTTGCCTGCCCAAGATTTTCAAATGCAACTATGGGAAAAAGAATTTATTCTTGCTAAATGAATACCTTCAGAAGGTGCTGTTTTTCAACACCTAGATCTCTAAATAATATTTAGGATTTTTTATATGATATTAAGTAATTTATTTGCATTTCATGATCTAATACTTAAGAGTGTATCTTCTTTGAACATATTCAAGATCCTTCTTAAACTGTCCTGGTTGTTATAAATCTCCAGGAGTCTAAAACTATCCAGAATAAATCAAGGAGTTAAAGTATATTAACTTTCTGTTATGGTTAGAATAGGAGATGTCCCCTTAAAAAAATTAATGCTGAAAGGTTCAGAATGTTCAGAGGTGAAATCATTAGATTAGGGGAGCTGCAACCTAATCAGGTGAATAAACCAAGGAAAGGAATAAAAAACTGAAAGGAATAACGGGGGGGAACCAAGGCAAGGGGGGCAAGGGTAAAAGAAAGAAGCAAAAGGCAAGGGGGGCCCCTGGGAAGGAAAATTTGCCCACGGCCCCCTAACTGCCTTCCGAAACCCGGCCGCCAAGAAAACAACAACCCCCCCCCAACAGGCCCTCCCCACCGTGATGTTCTGCCTCATCTCAGGCCCATAACAATGGAGTCCTCAGACTATGGACTGAACCTCTGAAATCATCAATCCAGAATAAACTTTTATTCTTCTAATGTTTTCTTGTCTGGTATTATGGTCATAGCAATGAAAAGCTGACTGATACACTACCATTTCAGAAAACTAGGCTCTGAAAAAAAGCCAATTAGTGGAGTCATCCATCATAAAAAGCATTAGGCAGCTACATCAGAATGTATGGAAAAACATTGTATTTCCAAACTGCTTAATTACCCTGTCTGTTTGGAAATAACATTAAGCTAAAACCTTGCATGTACACAAACACTCATGCTGCCTTACTATTTTAATTGATTTTACCTTTGTTGCAAAGATCTTTCTATCATGGCCTTAAAGAAAATTGAATAAGTATTGAACCATTATATGTTTAAAATACCCAGCACTAGAATTGAAAAAAAAAAAGTTGGAATAACTCATTTTCTTAAGGTTAAACTGCATGTGTTTAAGTTTTTTGATACGTTATATTTGAAAGTATTTTCGAAATTATATTTTATAACAAAGAAGCACAAGAGGTTGAAGAGTCAATATCTTGATTTAATGGCAAATGTAATGAGCACATACGTTATGCCTGGTATTAAATGTGAGATGTTCTTATTCTTATTGGCAAACTTTCCTCAACAGTAGCTTCCCAGGAGATTGCTATTCTTCCACATTGCATCTTTGAGACAACTAATCTCAGAAAGGTTCTACATCTTTGGAAACTTAATTAAAGCAGACATTTTTAATCAATACTTCTTACAAAAACCCTTCATTTCTTTTTAATTTTTAAAATTTTGTTTTTAAAGTTTCTATCACTTGTAGTACAAGATAGACAATTCTAACTTTGAGAAATAATAGCCTATCACCTTTTATTTCCCTCAGAGTTTTGCTTAGCTCTGTGGCTGCTTCTCTACGACTGATTGTAGTTATTGACAGATAATCTAAAAACATCTGAGAAAACATTTTTAAGAAGCAATGGAGAAAATTTCTTCTGTATTTTTGAAAAGGATAGCATCCTTTTCAAAATTTTCAAGTTGAAGTCATTGCAGCCATAATAAAACTGTAACAAAAAATACTTTGGAAGCAACATCAACAAGCAAATCTTGATACCAGACAATGCCAGTCATGCTTCAGTGAGCATCAGAATCATAGGAAGTTATTTCAACACAGATTCCCATTCCAACCCTATTAGGTAGGAGGTGGAGCTTAAGCATTTGCATGTTGAACATACTCCTGATTAATATTGACAATATTAATACATGGACCACATTTTTAGTAGCACTGACTTAAAGATGACCTGGAAAGCACAGTAAGTGTTAACAATTTAAATTATGTTTTTCAGAAAAATAAGTTCAACTGTACCAGAAGAGCTCAGTGTCCAGAAACCAATGTCAGCTCTGTACAGATACAAGGTGATGCCGATTATTTCATCAACCATCTTGGAGTTCCCACCGTGCAGTTTGCTTATGAGGACATCAAAGCATTAGAGGTGATTGTTCCTAAAAATGCAAAACACACACAATATAGCAGATGTGCAGAATTTGATTTTATCATAGCTATTCGTCTTTCATACCAAATAGGTCACTATAGAAACTGGCTTCATTTAGAGTGTTATTCTTGTTGTTCTGAGGCTTTGTAATAGTATTTGAAAACATCAGCTCTTTTCAATAGTGTTGAATTCAATTTAAAAAGATTTATACTGTCACTCACATTTTCACAGTGTGCTTCACAACAAGAAATTTGCAATAGTTGGATTAACATCAAAACATAATTGTAATCTTCGGTATTCACAGAAACAGATGACATAGGCAATAGATTCTCCTCTCCTTGCCCAAGGGAAAATGCATTTCATGTGCTCTGTGTTAATGTGAGTCTTGTGGATTAGCTACCCAAAGTTTGTCGATAACTTGCCTGCCTAAAAAGATACTACTTTTTTTATGAAAAAGGAAGGCTTTTTTCCCAAAGAATATCAGAAAAGCAAGATTCACATTAATTAAGTCTGTGCTGATCTATCTAGTTGAACTCAATCCTTTTAAGCTTTTTCAAAATAATGTTACACTAAACTGTGGTTGTTTTTTTTTTTTGGTTGTTGTTTAAATGTGGATATTTTGGGATTTTAACTTTAATTTACATTTTTTTAAATGCATTAGTGGGAATTCTTTGAAAGCTTCTTGAGTGGCCTGTTTCAGGTTATTATTACATTAACAAACAATGACTAGGAAATAAAGTCTATTTTATTTTCAGATATAAATATTTCTGAAAAAGAATGTTCAAATTATATTTATATAGGCTCAACTTCAGTTGTGCAAAAATATTATTTCTAACAGTTATTAGCAAGATCTATTCTTATGTCCCTGCAATCATCCTACTTTTCTTGAGTTTCCCTGTAAATAACTAATGATCAAGAGCAACAACTTAAATCTGTTAAGGGACACATCCTGGGTGAATCCTATTGTGAAAAACTGAATTCCTGGGTAATAAAAAGTAATTATTATGATTTATATATATTTTTTAAAGATAGTACTTTCATATGCCATTGTTTAAAGATGAGATACATTGGCACAGGTTTCTTTCATGCAAACAAATATATACATTAAAAAGAAGTCAATGTATTAATAAATTTACCCATTTTTAATTTTTTTGCTTGCTATCTCAATTTATTTTTTTATCTTGCTATCTTTATTCCCTGCATCACAGCTCATCCAACTCCTTACATATTAACAAGTTGAATAATTACTTTTTTCAATGTGTCTGATTCATTTTGTTTGGGTTTTAGGTCAATAATTTAGAAGTGGTTCGTCTAGTAAGATCTTGGTAGTGTCCTGACTCTGGACTTAGCAGACAAGTTACTGAGAATCTTCGAGAATTGTTTTTGTAAATTTGATACTTTGGAATTTTTATGGAATCTACTTTATAGAGATATAGTAACCATGAAATGAGATGTTGGATGTAAAGGTTTTAGTTAACATTGAGTTGTCATTAAGGTCCCATCAACCTTAGCTATCATCACAATTATCGTGTGATTGTAGATTCAACATAATAGTTGAATTAAAAGAATTTCTAAACTTTTTAGATTAAAAACACATCAGTGCAAGGGAGGAGATTTCCATTGTTAAGGAAAAAAAAAAAAAACTTCTCAGGCTGAAAAGGCAGGATTTGATGAGGATCATCTCAGGGTTCTGCCTTGCTAATAGGGAGATTTGGAATCAGTAAAGTTCTAACAGTCTGAAGGAGTTAATCTATTTTTCAAATTATACCCAGAATGTCTAGCTCTCATCATCAAGATCATTTTATATTATATTATTGTTTCTGAAAAAGTAATTAAAATAGAATTCCCTATGCAGTATAACAAATGACCTTGCTTATATTGCTTTAGTGGGGAGTATTATTTAATGGATTTGTCCCTTTCAAAATATGATTGCTTATGATGAGATAATTTTGTGTGAACCCCCTGAAGAACAGATATTAACCTTTACTTTCTTTGTTAACCTATAATAAATATTTGTATACAGCCATTAAGAGGAATTATAAGTATTGAAAGGCTTTATCTATGATGCAAAAAATAGTTATGCTTTGTCAATTAGTAAAGCAGGCAAGGAATTTAGAGTCCTGTTATGAATTTGCTTGCATTTTAAAATATAGTTTTTATGTATAATCTTTAGCGAGATAGTTTGGTAGATTGGGAATCAGGAACTCTAATTTAATCTCTGCATATCATTTAGCAAGTTACCTACAACTCTGGATCTCTACTTCTCTATCTATATCTAATGAAAAGCAAAATTAGACAAAAAATAATGTCTACCACTTAATTGAATACTTGCTATGCTGAATATTTTAAATATTTTATACTTACATTCTCACTTAATATTTGTGAGCTCTCTGCAACTCAGTGATTATTATTAACTCCTTTTATGCAGTGGATGAAGTGAAATTTAAAGTCAAGTAGCTTATTCAGAGTTAAAAAGATACTAGACCAAAATAGAAGCTGACTTCAAATCTGTTTAACACTGAATTCCTGTTTTCAGCAATTGCTCTAAATGTTCCAAGTTAGAAGCTCAATGTAGGATTCAGTACACCAACATATTGTTTGCCCTGGTCTTCACTGGGAATCAGATATCTGGAAAACTTGGGTTTCATTTCTCCATGGAAAGAATCAACTGACACAGCATTTCTCACCAGCTTGCCCTGTTCTTTATCAAAGAATCTGCCATGCTGTTTGTCCAAGAGTGTAGTTAAAAAGAATATTTTCCTCAATACCTGTTTGTATCAAAAATTGGGAATTCAATGACCAACCAACAGGGCCACATGTTTTACAAGATTTGTGCCACTTACATTACCTGATTGAACCCTTTAAAAATGGAACTCATTATTGATGCACTAATTTTGAGTAAAAGTTATAAAAACATTTCTACAATTCTTTGTACTTTAAAAATTGTGTGTATTCATCTCAGTGCAGAGGTACACACCAGTAATACCAATATCTTGGAAGGCTGAGGAAGATGGATCACAACTTCTAGGTCAGCCCCAGCAACTAAGTGAGACTCTTAGTAATATAGCAAGACACTGTATCAAAAAACAGAACACACACACACACAAAGGGACTGGGAATGTAGCTCAATGGTGGAGTACCCCTAGGTTCAATCCCTAGTAGTATCTCTTACCACCAAAATTTAAAATTATGTATTCTAAATGAATTACTGATCTATTACAGTGATCTGTGGGGAAGAAATTCCAAGATCCCAGTGGATACCTGAAATGGCATAGTGTACTAAAATCTTCATATACTGTTTTTTCCTACACATACACACCTATGATTCACTTCATAGGTGAATGATTAATAGTGTAATTGAATAATCACAATAATATACAGTAATATAATTGCCACCATCACTTCTCTTGTATTTTGGGACAATTATTAAGTAAAATAAGGGTTACTTGAATACTTGCACTTAGACACTGTCACAGTGAACTTGGTAACTGAGGTGGCTATTGGGGGACAAATGTATATAGTATGGACATTCTTGAAAAAAGGATATTTTTCTTTCCAGGCAGGATTGAGCAGCAGGACAGTGTGGGATTTTATCATGTTACTGAGAACAGCACACAATTAAAAACTGATAAATCGTTTTTTTTTTCCCCTGGAATTTTGGATCAAATATTTCTATACTGTGGTGGATTGTAGATAATTTAAGCCATGAGATGAAAGAGAAACTATGGATAGGGGAATTATTGTATATTCAGTTTCAACAAGTAAACTCTGATAACGGGAAAAAACTGAACTGTGAGAAGCTAAACTGGTGCTTAGAGACCACATTTTATGGACACGTGGGACATTATTAGTTTTATTTTTTAATGGAAGTCGACATTTTATGATATCTGTCCCAATATTGTATGCTATCCACATTCCTAGCTGTAACTTTTCCCCGTGGTTTCTCTGGATACAAATACATGCCCCAGATTACTTAAAGTGGCACTCATTGTTGCCTTTTGGGGGGTACTTATAGTCTCATTTTCTAATAACTAAATTTCACAAATGCAAAGTAACCTATGTATTTGCCAGATGTTAATTTGATTCCTTCTCATAAGATATTGCCCTGTTAATTGAAACATCTCTGGTTGTAAGCTTCATTTAAATACCGTTTTAAATTTGTAAACACTGTTGCACCTGTTAGGAAAAGCATTCTGTGCAGATTAAATACAATGCAGAGATTGCTGAAAAGGAAATGAAAAGACAGATGCTTTCTGATTAAGAGTGCAATATTTATGACAGGCTGGTGGTCCAATGCACATTTCTTCTGTCACTTAGCAGCTGTTTCACATAATTTTTGTTCCAGATCAGTATATTTATTCTCTATAGGGCATGTCAGAGGTTCTGCCTTTCTTAGTATATCAAAAGATCAATTCATGCCAGGCAAGTTTTATATCACAAATTGAAGCTTGCTTCCTCACTCTGTTTAACCTTATATTTTTT